CTTTGGTATATATATATATTTAATATATGATAAATCGTTAGTGTTGGTATAGATACAGAAATTTGGAGCACATTATAGGGTGCTACCAACAATTTTAGTAACAGACTAACTGTACCGGACTGTGAATCCGAGGTTCCACGGTTCACGCGCCGTTACCCCCAAAACATTCGAGCTTCACACTTTAGGACCGTGGATACGTTATAAGATTAGTGTAGCCCACAAGTTGGCGACGGGTAGAGCTAATTACCTGCCTTTCCTCTGGTCTACCACCTGAAATTTAGGGACGGCTAGCGCAAACAGTCCTCAAATATCTTTACGCGAAATTCCACAAACAACAACAACAATGAAATAATTGCATTATTTTGATAATTCAACCCCAGTTTAAGTTTATTGACCAATAGGGTTTCCTTTCTACGCAATTATTTTGAGTTTAAAATTTAACTGTTCTGTTAAAGCAAAGAAAGGATAATGAGAATAAAATTTTATAACTAGTAGGCACGGCCAGATGTAGGCCCCCCCCCCCCTCATGCAATACTGCGATGCTGGAGGCCTCACGCAATTGCATGGATTGCACCCACTCTAAATCCGGCACTGCCAGTAGGCTATAGTTTAGCAGAATATAAAAAGTCTGCTTTCTATAATCGAGGCTGGTTCGTTCAAGTTATATGAAATTTGATACACGTATATTCTTGTAAGAGACGGTAAAAACTGACGAGAGAGTATTTAATTACATCTTCACGAACCATTAGATCTCTAGGAGCCCTAATTTTTGTAATTAGAAATATGCAGAATTTGGTACATCTATAATATGTTTAAAACACTACTGTTTACAAGTGTCCAAGAACAGAGGTCTCTAACAGTACTTTAGTTTCTAAGACAAACAAAAACTTCTGACACTTTTTAGTTCTAAAATCAGTCATATCAACGTCTAAAGTTGAAGAAATTTGCCTCTGGTATGGCATCAGTGGAGGCGTTATAATATGATGGTCAATCACACTATTCATTGTTAAAAGAGTAGCCCAAGATTTGGCGGTGTTGACTAGCTACTTTCCCTCTAGTATTACACTGCCAAATTAGGGAAGGCTAGCGCAGGTAGCGCTCGTGTAGCTTTACGCAAAATTTAAACAAAAAACAAATAATAAAAGACATGTCAGTCATGACACAACAGAAAGAATAACGAATCATATACAGCGAGAGCCTGAAAATAATTCTCATCGTCCCACTACGTTATTTATTCGGTTCTGGTTTCCTGGAAAAGAACAACAACAACAACAACAACAAAAGAACTGATAACATTTGAAAGATTTTGAACTACATTATTGGGTTTAAATTATTTAAAGAACTATTGTACCGTATATAATGCCTATATTGTTTCTATTTGCGGGGTTGGGCGTGCCTCGTGCTACGACTGTGAATTCGAAGGTTTTATAATTCGTGGTCCATTGCCGGAAAAACGCGCCACGACACTTTAAGGCCCGTGAGTGCGCTATAAGTGTTATGGTCAAATCGTATTATTGAATCAGACAAGAGTAGCTCAACAGTTGGCTGTGGGTACTGTTGATTATGTGTTTTCCCTCTAGTATATCAGTTGAAAACTAATAACGACAATGCCTGGATAGCATTGTGTACTTCTGCGCAAACATTTCCACACTAACCAAGGCTATGTACTAATATAGGTTTTAATTGTATCGAAACAATATTTTCAGTTGTCTGCCATGTAACAATATTTTCAGTTGTCTGCCATTTAACAATATTTTCAGTTGTCTGCCATGTAACAATATTTTCAATTGTCTGCCATGTAACAATATTTTCAGTTGTCTGCCATTTAACAATATTTTCAATTGTCTGCCATGTAACAATATTTTCAGCTGTCTGCCATTTGACAATATTTTCAATTGTCTGCCATGTAACAATATTTTCAGTTGTCTGCCATGTAACAATATTTTCTACTGTCTGCCATGTAACAATGTTTTGAGTTGTCTGCCATGTAACAATATTTTCAATTGTCTGCCATGTAACAATATTTTCAGTTGTCTGCCATGTAACAATATTTTCTACTGTCTGCCATGTAACAATGTTTTGAGTTGTCTGCCATGTAACAATATTTTCAGTTGTCTGCCACGTAACAGTATTTTCAAACCCTACAAGGTGTAAACTGATAGATAATAAGATAATATATTTTATTGTTGTTGTTGTTTTTTTCTCTACTTGAACATAAAGGGTTCAATACTTAGTTCGGCACCCAAAACTTCAGTAATTAAAGTTGTGATATTTTGGCACACTGTTGTCAGACAGATAGAATCCAATATCCACAAGACACACGTTTCAGAAGAGGTATGCAGAGAATACTTTCGAATACCGGGAGCAAAGCAATACAAACAAACAAACAAAAATGTATTCATTCATACATTTATGTAAGTCGTAGTTTATTGGATGACCTTGATATTCTACTATGCGACTACTCACTGATTGCTGGGATTGGGAGGAGAATCACACATATACAACAGAATCAAGAAAGAGTCTCCCATAGTCTTTGTCGTCACGTGACAGGTATTTCGGTTTGAAATCTTTTCAAAATCCAAACCTAAATTTAGTATTTGAAAAGACAACCGGGAATGTTCAGAAACAAATATTTCTCTTCATCTCTTTCTTGGATGCTATGTATTGCTGAAAATGGAGAGTGGGGGGTAATATCCCATAGTCAAGTAAATGCCTCTCTTTTATTTCAGACTGAAATGTTGTTGTGGTACCTTTAGGCTATCTACGTCAATGATAATTTCAGATAAGCATACCCCAACTCATACTAATATGTTCAAGGCTCTGTATCACCCCTTGAAGTGGAATTACCTATCACAGGGGGGCGAGACACAGACATAAATTCAAGTTTTTACAAGCTCCCATAGAATAATTGTAAGGTTTTTATTGTTCTTTTTATGTCTCCACCAAACTTTACCAGAAGAAGAATATTTCCGCCGTTAGAGGGAGAATAAAAATACATGGTAAATATCAAAATGGTAGATAGTAACAGCTTATTAACACGACAGTGAATAAGACAATTTTGTTATAACTTTTAATAGATGACGTACTTCTTTGTGGACGAAAAAAGGTTGGTCATTTTACTATATTGCAATCATCTTCAGCGCTTCCTAGTTAACTCATGACAGTAATACATAAAACAAGGTTAAAATGTTATAATTAAATTGGTAACTTCCAATCAAATGATTGTAAGTTGTTGAACTATTGTATTTATTTATGCATTATTTGGTAATAGTAGTAATTAGCAAGCAGGAGAATTCTCTTCACTTTATTGCTCCGATACATCACAGGGAGCGTCGCCATGTTTTTCTTGGCTGTTTCTTCAAAAGCCTGCGAGGAAGAGACAGCAGTATTCCAGTAGAGTAACAACAGAGTCCATTAACTCAAGCTGGAGGCCCCTGTCAAAGGAAGTACAGAAAAAAAAACAACAAGTAGTAGTATGTAACCTTTACCAAAGCACGATAATAAGTGTATATTTGTTCGTCCGGTTTATCACGAGGGCGCTAACGTCACGCAGAAATCTTGCAACAATTTATAAAAACAACAACTTGAATGTATCTGATATAAGACAACGTGCAACGAAATTCAACATTCAGGTAATCTTTCTTGCAACATTAATTTTTGGACGTAAAGCAACCGCTATATAAACAAATAATAACGTTATTTATTTATTTAATGTTTTAAAAGTTAGTTATTATTATTATTATTCTTATGTTGTTGTTTTTCTTCAACGTATTCACTAATTTCCTCTCTAACAAAAAATTAGTTTTCTTAAACAAAATAACACATAGTAATTGTAATATAACTTTTAATAACTCAAGGTGTAAAAATGAAGAAAAATATATAACAATGTGTCAACCTTACTATATTCAGTGTTGACGAGGCCTTTCGTCTTATCCTAGGCCTAATCTGGCAGACTAGATATGACATATACAGCAGTGGTCGAGACGCTAATAATATTTTCAGATTGCATGAACAACAGTTGCAATGGTGTGGACTAGATAAAGTTGCTAAAGTGTAATTTGTGTCAGTTGTATACGAGTCACTTAAAAATCAGAATAATGGTAAGGATTATTACATATTATTCATATTTATTTTGACTTGAATTAAATTTATTAACTCAGAAGAACAAAAACTGGCGAAACAGAAAACTAGTATAAGTCGTTGCTGGAGTGAGTCAAGCGTGAACTGGAGAACAATGTATTAGTAACTCTAAGAAATCAAGAGTAAAAACGGAGAAGAATGTATAGCACTATGTGCAGTGCCGACGATGCCTTTCTGCTAATACCAGGGCTCATCAGGCCGGTTGGGATCCGATAAACGCTATGTACACGATTAACTTGAACTTAAACATCTGTATTCCTGTTCTGTTCAGCATAAATTGCTTCTTAGAAGATCAAACTAAAGTTCTAAAAAACTTTTTTTTTTTAAATGTTAGTTGAAATACTTAATTGTCGGTGCCATATTGGAACCGACTTTCTTCTACGTGATTTTTTTTATTTTTTGCAAAAAGTTGTGGTGGTTAATTGTTAATTTTCATTTACAGATAAATGATTAGAAAACTCATCATCAGGTAAGCAGCGATAGAATTCAACAAGTTTTCCTTCTCTTTCAGCAAGTCATTTGCTTGCAAATCAATGAGCTCCAACTGTAGTTCGATTGGCACGTCATCAAGGTTACAATCAAACGGATTCTGGAACAGAAGAATGTCACTCTCAATTCTGTCGAGATCTGAAAATCTCTCCAAAAGATGCTTATTTAAGTCACTAATAATATTCTTCGGAAACTCGAGGTTGACATCTTCTGCGATTCCAGTGCGAAACTCTTTGAAACACTGAAAATGAGAGAAGTTTCCTCCTGCCAGTTGTGCTTCAAACAATGATAGCTTTCTCCGAAATCCTCTGATGATTCTGTAGAAATCACAGATAAGGTTATCCTTTCCCTGAAGTTTCAAGTTCAATTCATTCATGTGGGATGTGATGTCAACCAAAAATGACAACTTTGACAGCCAGAAAGAAGTGGATCAGCTCTATACTGATAGAGTTATCAGTTATCTCTCAATAGATGGA